TTCCAGCTACTTGAAAGGCTGAGGCAGAAGGATTGCTGGAGCCCAGCAGGTCAAGGCTGCGGTGGCCAGGAGTGGCCACTGCACTCCAGTCTGGGCGACAGAGTGAGACTCTGACTCAAAAAAACAAAAAAAAAAAACTTCAAGTGTTCAAATTATTATACTGTGCATTTCATTTTTGTTTAATAAACTATCCAACGTGGGTCAATGGCTTGAATAGTACATTGATTAATATCAGAGACGGCTTTTTAAAATATCTATCAAATGAAGCACTAAATTACACCATACATACCTCCGAATTTGGCATTCACCATTACATACAAATGCTCTCGTGGATAGGCGTTTAGGTCCCTGGACACAGCATGTAAACTAATAGTGGGGTATTCCAGTGAGAATCCTAATCCAGAGCCATCTAACCAAGACAGGCGGCTGAAAAACATGTTGTAAGTAGATTACTTTTTGAAATTAAAACCTAATATCCCAAAGTTTACAAAGGTTCAGCTTGGACACTCTTATGTATATGAATAAATTCAAACTTACTGCTTAGAAATATCCCTCCCGCGCCTTTGGGAGGCTGAGGTGAGTGGATTGCCTGAGCCTGCGGGTTCGAGCACCGCCTGGGCAGCAAGGCCTCATCTCTACAATAAATCAAAAAATCAGCTGGGTGTGGTAGGGCATGCCTGTAATTCCTGCTACTTGGAAGGCTGAGGCGGAAGGATCGCCAGAGCCCAGCAGGTTGAGGCTGCAGTGCCACTGCACTCCAGTCTGGGTGACAGAGTGAGACTCCAACTCGGAAAAAAAAGAAAAAAAAGGAAATATCCCTAAAACACTTCCTGAATAGAAAATTCAGCAGTGAGAATTGAATTTTCTTTAAGACCGATTCTGTTATGGTGTCTTTCCCTCCAGCTATAAATTCAAATAGATTTGAAATTCAATTTTCCTCCTTCACATGTACTTTTCTATGTCGCTTACATGTATTCTCATTTGGAACGTCTTCAGGCCACTCTCTGTTTTTGCAAGTCTTCCTCACTTAGTTAAGTCCCAGCTCCTCATGGGGCTTCCAACTATTCCAGTCTATAATGATTTCTTCTTTTTCTAAATTGCATTTATGCTCACTAATATATTATTTAGCACTTAACTTTATGATAATGAATCGTATATGTACCCATACAGAATGTGAGCTACCTGACAAAACCTGTCACATTCCTTTACTTAACATTCTTCAAAACCATTAGAGCAGAGCTCAGCGGCCAAGTATGCAATAAATACTCATCTTTCCAATAATCCCACATTAGATAAATGGCTATCATCATATCACACCTACCACAAGTCAGAAAATAATGATTACCTTGAATAACAAACTCTACGAAGTCTTTCAGTTATTCTACAGTTTTAAGAAAAAGCCAGATAACCAAGGCCTAGTTTTTCCTCAACCGTGGTCAAATACAAATATTTTATTGGTGTAACAAGGGAAGCATATCACCAAAATCAGTATGTTGAATTTTGAGTAGGGACTGGCTAATTTTTTGATAACAAGTCACCTATCTGAAGCTGCATTGCTTAACAGAAAAAAAGCAAAAGGTCCTGAAGAAGCCACAAAGAAAAGTTATGCAATAAAAGTGCAAGAGAGTGGCTGCCTAGGGCTAGAAGAAAATAGGAAATGCCTGCTAATGGGTCCCAGTTTCTTTCTGGGGTGATGAAAATATTCTGAGGTGATGGTTGCACAATTCTGTAAGTATACTAAAAACCATGAATTATACACTTTAAACGGGTAAACTGTATGCTATGTGAATTACATCAATAAAGCTATTAAGAAGCTAATGCAGTAAGGTCCCCGTATCATTCTATATTCTGTACAATTTTAATAAGCCTGGCTGTCTAATTCCTAACCAAACAAAAGCAGAAGTGCAATAGGAGAACCAAGGACAGCCTTGGGAGAGAACAATGATAGCTAGTGTGACAGTCTGAGTTCATATTCAGTGTAGGCAGAGGATGAACTGTACGCCTCAGTTCCCCTAAAGGAAATCAGTGTCTAATAGCACGATACAAGTGTATAACACATAACCCTCAGTAATCAAAAGCATTATTAAAAACAAAGGGAGAATATCAGACTGTGATGATAAGTGCACAACTCTGTAAATATATTAAAACTTACTTCATTGTATAGTTTAAAAAAAACAAAAGCAAGAAATTATGCACCGTTGTTTGAAAAGATTTCTACCCAGTATGCTTAATCAACAAATAAAAAAGTAAAGAAAACTTGAGAAGTTTAAAAGTAACAAGTCTTAAAGAGTTAAGAGCAACAAAAGCTCAAGAAACTATTTTCCAGAATGACTCATTCCCACTGGTTCCAAAGGAAAGATGTTATATGTAATCAGATTGTGTGCTGTATGCACCTTTCCTGTCCACTGCTTTTCTCTTAATGTGGAGATGATATAGTGCTCAAGTTATCACCAGTCCCCAGCTAAAACTATATTATTTTAAAGTAAATAAACTGCCCTTTTCTTACCTCAACAATCTACTGGTATTATCACAATTCAGAAAGGAACATTCCAAACCGGGCTCAGTAGCTCAGCCTGTAATCCCGCGCCTTTGGGAGGCTGAGGTGAGTGGATTGCCTGAGCCCGCGGGTTCGAGACCCACCTGGGCAGCGAGACCTCATCTCTACAATAAATCAAAAAATCAGCTGGGTGTGGTAGTGCGCGCCTATAGTTCCAGCTACTTGGAAGGCTGAGGTGGAAGGATCGCCGAAGCCCAGCAGGTTGAGGCTGCAGTGGCTGGGAGCGGCCACTGCACTCCAGTCTGGGTGACAGAGTGAGACTCCAACTCAAAAAAAAAAAGAAAGGAACATTCCAAATGTGGGTGTCCAAAATAATTTCAAACAGTCAGAGTCACAAAACTTTAAAGACTCATCTGAACAAACTGAAATCTAAACATAAAATTAGTGCCTATCAAAGTAAAGTCTTTACTTTAAAAAGTACATAATTACTCTGTAGTTACTTCCTACAGAACACAAATGTCACCCCAGCACAGCATTTGCTATGGGGCTCTCCTAATCTTATCCATGAATTTGGATTATGCATGCACCCTACAGGTCAGAAGCAAGTTCCATACTTAAAAGCAACACTTACTCTGATCACTAAATTCTGATTTTTATTTACTTTTTATATATTCTAGAAGAAAAGTTCCCCAAAACTGAAACAGATAATTAATTATAAACTATGAGTCAACAGGCAAAGACAAGAATTAAAAAGCCAGTGAACATGTGGAGAAATGTTGTGCTAAACTCTGATGCTTTTGTACAAGTATGATCGTGTCGTTTATTCCTCCGATGGGGTTAAACACAGGACAGAAAGTTAGAGGGGTCTTGAATTAAGTTGGTTTAAAATTAATTTTGGAATAAGATCCAAAAAAAATTTCATCATTTCTAAGTCTAAATTACCTATTTTTAACTTAATTATCCATTTTATTTTACATGTTTTAAACTGCCTATTTTGTATTATTCATGCCTCTGTACCTTCCTTATCTGGATAATAAGTAAACTTCCTGTGGAAACTAAGCTCTGAAAATATGCCAGACAATTCTAAATCTCTCAACAAACATCTAAGAAGCTAAAACCAAATCTACCTAAAACCCTACAATAGTTTCACACAAGACTAAGGGGCTATAAGCCAAGCTCATCAGCCCATGAAAATGGTCCTCTCCATCTCCGGTTTTAATATTTCTTTCTGTTTGCCCTCACTCCCTCAGATGAATTGCTAGACACACGCCCATATAAAATATACATGTACACACATATTCTGGCACATATACCAATTAAGATATTTCCCCTAGTCCAACCCATTCATCTGGCTGTTAATCAGGTGTCACAACCACCACGAAGCCTCTCCAGTGTATTGAAACCTTAATTCTATCATTACTGGAAAGGCTAGGTGGGAAAGAACAGGGGAAAGAGATCAAGGAGAGCTAACAATAAATAAAGAGGGATGAATATAAATGTCCAAGCACTGGTAATATTCTGGTCTTAACCTGGAGGGTAAATATGCAGGTATTGGTTTAACTACACTTCTTTAAACCTTACATATACAACTTGCATTCTTTTTGTATGTATGTTTTACAAAAAATATTTTCTTAAAGAATAAGGGGTTTGCTAAAGAAAAGCTGAGATAATAATTTTTTAAACAAATAAGAACTTAAAAAGAGTTGCATTTCCTAAGTGAAAACTGTATTGTGGTTAAGACAGGAGAATGTTCTTGTTCTTCTGAGACATGTCTGCAATTCTCCAATGACTCAGGAAAAAAAAATCATAAATGTGGCAAAATTTTAGTTAATAAATCTTTGCAAAGGGTATATGGGTATTGATTAATAAAACTTGAAACTTTTCTTTAGATCTGAAATTTTTCAAAATGCAAAAACAAAGGACTATCCCCCAAAAAGGAGTTGTAATATAGAAAAAGGAGCCAACATACAGAAATGCCATGAAGAAAAAGGACTGGAAACTCATGGATTGTATCTGGGAGCCATCTTCCACTACTTAAGAAAAAATGCTTTCTCCAAGATGGTCAAAGATCTCTTTGTCAATATCCAATAGATATTCTTCAGATTTTAAAAATGTATCTGTTTTAGTGAGTCTTGCTCTGTCTCCCAGGTTGGAGTGCAGTGGCACAGTCACAGTTCACTTTAGCCTCAACCTCCTGGGCTCAAGACATCTGGGTAGCTGGAATCACAAAAGTGCACCACTAAGCACGGCTGATTTTTAAAAACTGTTTTTTGTAGAGATGGGGGTCTCACTATGTTGGCTGATCTTGAATTTCTGAGCTCAAGTAGTTCTGTCCTGGCCTCCCAAAGTGTTAGGATTACAGGCATGAGCTGCCATCGTGACCCAGATTTTATTTTGAATGCGCCTTCATTTTCTCGTATGAAGTCTCTTCCATGATCCATCTCTTTTTTTTGAGTCGGAGTCTCACTCCCACCCAGACTGGAGTGCAGTGGCCGCTCCTGGATACCGCAGCCTTGACCTACTGGGCTCCGGCGATCCTTCTGCCTCAGCCTTCCAAGTAGCTGGAACTACAGGTACACAACCACGCCTGGCTAATTTTTTGATTTATTATAGAGATGAGGTCTGCCAAGTTGTCCAGGCGGGTCTCAAACCCGCCGGCTCAGGCAATCCACGCACCTCAGCCTCCCAAAGCGCGGGATTACAGGCTGAGCCACCGAGCCCGACTAGATCCACCTCTTAAGGTGGGTGTATACTCAAGGTTCAATCCTTGGTCCTCTTCTCTTTTGGGGTATCTAATCCATTCCCGTGAGTATATGCTAATACTCTAATGGCTTCCAAATTTCTATCTTTAATACCACTCTCCCAAGACAGAAACTCATTTGTGTCTGCATCTGCCCTGACCAAGCTCTTTATCTGCCTTAATCTTGCTTTCCCTCCCATCCATATATTCTATCTCAGTAAATGGACAAAAACCTAAGCTTTGTTCAGTATCTAAACTTTTCTCTGAAGTAGGGGTTCTCTCCAGTCTTTTTGTGCCCTGGACTTTGCAGCAGGCAGAATTTTGGCTTTCATGACCCTTATGTCCTGGTGTCATGCCTGTGAATACGTTATGTTACATAGCAAAAGGAACTTTGTAAATGTAATTAAGGTCACTAACCGGTTGACAATAACATTGGGAAAATTATCCTAGATTATCTAGATGGACCCAATATTATCACAAGCTCTTAAAAGTAGGGAATTCTCTCTAGCTGTAGACGAAGTGATGTAGCAAAGGGGGCACCCCGCCTAAGGATTCAATGTGCCAAGGTCGGATTGAAAATGAAGAGGCCCACATGTCAAGGAAAATGGGACTTCAGTTCTAGAGAGGCAATATTTAAGGTATGTCTCTATCTGACTGTGAAAGCACCAAGAGCTCAAGGTGGCTAAATCAGGGGGCAATTCCTTCCCAAGACCCAGAAGCGGAAGTCAGCTCCCTCTGGATATGACCTCAGTCTGCGTAGGCTAGAGGATGTTCCTGTCTCCACCGACACACCTACAGAAGAAAGTCTATACTCCTTAACCGAACTTTCAGATCTCGCTCTGAACCTCTATATCCTACAGAGAGGAACACCTCTTCATCCGGAAAGACAGGTACATCGAAGACTAACTCAGGCCTGGAAACCCAAAGCCTTAAAACGAGACCATGAGTTAAGAGCAAAGGCACGCGCCAGACCCCCATTAAACAGGCGGGTAAAACGCACAATCTGTGGAGAGAACAGAGAAGAGAGAAAGGAAGGCTCCGGAGGAGGGAACACTCGAGGAACCGTCTAGCTCCTCATGGAGGCATCCCCAAGACCACGCCGAGCACGCGCTACCCCTCCCCGCAGCCCCCAGGTCGCGCCTCGCCCTCAAGGAGGAATGCGGCGCGCAGGCGGCCGTGCTTGGGAACAGGAGCCCCACCTCTCAGCGATGTAGAGGGTCCCGGTGCCCAGGCCCTTCCCGTTCAGCACAGCCTCGGTATCTGGCTGCTGCTGCCGAAGGCCCTCGGCCGGCCCGGGCGGCGAGAAACTTTTGAGGAAGCTCATAGCAGCTGGGAGTTCAGGAACACAGGCCGGGAGGGAACTGGCCACAGCAATACCGCACGCTGGGACCCGCCCCGGAAGCGGTGGCCGTCATCCCGGAAGAACAACTTCGTCTGCACCGGAATTGAGCGCCACTGACCATAGAGGTGAGACGTTCTAGGAAAAGCGCTCGGAGGTCTGCGAAGACGCTGCGGAGTCTGTCATGTGACACGCCTTCCGCTCTAGCTTGCCATTTCCGAGGCACTAGGTTTCGAAAAGCCGAGAGTCGTCTGGAACATCCTACACCAAGGTCGTCACAGCACCCTGGTGAGAGAGGAAACACAAGGAAAATTAGTATTCGTTTTTCTACAAAGGAGGAAATGGAGGCCTGGGACACGGAGTCCCTTGCTTGAGGATGCACGAGAAGTAGAGACCACAATCTAGAGATCAGAAGCCTCCCAGGGAACTCATTTCACGATCTTTCTCCTGTGCCCCCGCTCCCGCATCTTCCGGGACTGTTCACATCTCAGGTTTACACAGCCCTGCACCAGACATTAGTTGAGGTCCTGACACGCCCAAGTGCTCGAGCCAGGCAAACCCACGTGTCAGACAGCCAAGAAGAGCACAAAGGGGTAATTAACGTGGGGTGAAGAGCTGACTAGGTCAGTAAGGAGATGGGGCGCTGAAGGGAAAAGAATTAACCCACCAGACTTGGAACTCTTGCCTTAGAGACTTAGGCACTAGAGAGTAAAGTAGTAAAGGCAGTACTTAATAGTAGCTAAAGTTAACCGAATTGTGCTGGGCCAGGATCTGTTTTAGGCACCTTACCCATATTATCTCTCCATTTGCTCTTTAGGACAAGTATATGAAGAAGTTACTATTTATTGACCCCATTTTACAGATGAGAGACTGAGGCATTAAACTCAAGAGCAAGAGTTCATTGTGGCCTGGTGGAATTCAAGTCAGTCTGTCTGTCTAGGCACCACTCTTGCATGTAACTCAGTGTGATCATACCCGTGCCATATAGGACTGTTGAGACTGTAGGGCGGGGCATATGGGATAGCTTTATTTCTGTTCACTCAACACTTAGGGGAGTGTTGAATTTTTAACCTGGATTAGTTTGTTAGTAGTGAGAAAAGAGGAAGGACACACTGAACAGGGAGAGTATTAGGAAGCTGTTGCCATGGTGTAGGTGAGATAAAGGCAGTAAGAATGGAGATTGGGACAGATTCTAGACCTATTCTAAAGGTATAAAATCCTCAGAATTTGGAGACAGGAGCGGGGTCTGGGGATGGGGAGAAATGGTTGTGAAGGTGAAAACCAGGGTGGATAAAGAAGAGAGAGATCAAGGTCTAATTTTCCACTTTAATTGATTGAGTGAATGCTGGCTCATTTCTCTGATTTGGAGAATCCAGGAGGAGGAGGAGGTTTTTAGAGCAGCTAAAAAATGTAATTTGGGAAAGGACATGTTTGAGGTTTCCCATAGGATATCTGTATGCGGCTGGCTATTTAGCTAAACAGCCAATGCTTTGCTCAGAAACGGAATCCCCTAAATAATACAGGGAGAAAATTAGCTAAAACCAGTGTGATAATTTCATATCAATTCAACCTAGTTTTCATAGTGTCATTTAAAAAAATGTGACTGCCTGATGGTAAGACATTTTATCTAAGTTTATAACTAAAGGAAAGAGATCTTAGCTATGACAAGGAGCTCTTCACGAACCTGATACAGTGCCAGGCTCAGAGGAGGCACTTAAGCAAATGTATGTCAAAGCAAACTGAGGCATATAACCAAGAATTTAAAGAAGGGGAGGTTTGTGCCTTCTGCCTTCTATATAAATTCCTATGATAATAATAATCAGTAGGCACTTCATAAATTTCACATTTGTATAGTGTTTTACGTTTCAAAAGAATGATTTTCTCACAAATTATCTTCTATAGTAATTATGTGAGGTAAGAAGGATAGTTGTTATTATGTTCCACTTTACAGTTAAGAATACTGAAAATCAGAGAAATTAAGTGGTTTTCTAAAGGCTACATTACTAGTACTCAGCTAGAAGTTAGATTCCTTTCCATTTTATTCCAAGTCCAGCATTTTCACTATAAGCCATCACCCCTTAGAGCTAGTTAGCAGAAGTTATAAAGATATTCCTGCCTCTTGGTGATAGTAAGAATTAAGCTTCCTATGAGTTCATTGTTACTAGATCATGCTCTTGCTAAGCACTCCTAAAACCACATCCTTGATGGTGAGAGATAAAATTAGTAGAAGTGGTGGAAAGTATTTACAAGGAATAGATAGACACCAAGACTCTCAGGCTTCCTCCTTGATATGTCCACCACATGGTCATTGTCAGCTGGAACCTCAATGGAGACCATCAGCTGTAATACCTTTACATAGCTTTCCATATGGTGTGAGCTTCCTCACAACATGGCAGCTGAATTGTGAAGGTGACCATCCTGAAAGAGACTGACAGAAGCTGCATAGCCTTTTCTAACCCTAACCTCATCGTCTGTGCTGAAGTCATGAAATACCTGACACTGGGTAATTTATCAACAATAGAAATGTATTGCTCACAGTTCTGGAGGCTGGGAAGTCCAAGATCAAGGCGCTGGCAGGTTTGGTGTCTGGTGAAGGCAAGGTTCTTTCTTCTTTGGCATGGTACCTTATTGATGCAGTCTCACATGGCAGAGGGTAGAAAGGCAAAAGGAATAAAAATCTCCCTCATATCTCTTTTATAAGCTCATTAACTCATAAAGCTTGTACCCTCACAACTTAATCACTTCCTAAAGGCCTTACCTCTTAGCACTATCACATTGGTGATTAAGTTTCAACATATGAATTTTGGGGGCATACATTCTGACCAGAACAGCTGAATATCTGCTTTCCTTGTGCAAGTCTAGAATTTTGGTATGTACTGGGCCAAGGGCACCTACATGACAGCTCCCAATAAAATTTCTGGGCACTGTCTCTAATGAGCTTCCTAGTAGACTACATTTCACATAGGTTGTAACTTGTTGCTTGGGTGTTATTAACAGCTCATCCTTTGTGACTCCACTGGTAGAGGACCCTTGGTAGCCTGCACCTGGTTTCCTACAGACTTTAACTTCACATGCACTCTTTCCTTCTACTGATGTTGCTTTGTATCCTTTCACTGCAATAAGACAAATAGCATGAGTGTGATGATATGCTGAGTCCTATGAGTCTTCCTATCAATCCTGAGGGTTGCCTTGAGGACCCTAATACTGTAGGTGTCAAAAGTGACATTCACTAGACTGATCCTGACTCAATGAAATGTGGCCAAAATATTGTTTGGATGAAGGGATGGTGTGTGATGCACCTTTGGTGCTTGGGTGGCTGTGGAATCATCCATGGTGTAATCAGCTGAAGCTGCTGTCTGTTGTGAGGGGTGAAAGTTACCTATGGAATTTAAAAATGATAGCTCCAACTCCAGGAGAGTTGGCTCATGGGGACCCCTGATTACTTTTGGCTTTTTGGTTAAATTGGGGGTGAGTGGGAGGATGCCAGTCTAGATGATGCCTTCAGTACTTTTTCTCTCCTTCAGGTAGGGGGGAAAAGTTAAGCCAGTGCCCAGAACTGGAGCAAAATGTTAGACAAACCAGAGAGGGAAACACTCCAACTCTTTGTTCAGCCTAACTGCTGCCACTGCTACAGCAGACCTGCCACCCCTGCTCCTTGTATTCCAGCCAAGGTCTTCCATGGCAACTCTAATGTTAACTCTGTAAATGCTGAATTTACTGCTGGAAGTCTGAGTAAATTCGCAGTGAAGGAAAATAATGGGGAAATTTTAGAAATGGCTTTGTAATTTGTAGCATCTAGATGTATAAACATTAATGTAAAATGTGATATGCTTGTGATTTCATAAATGCTAGAGGAATCATTCCAGTCATGGAAAGCTGCAAAGAAAACGTGTTAACAAAATGGAATTTCCTTGCTTTTTGTGGTCATGTTAGAATTTAAGACCATTGAGTACTGGAAACAGAACAGTTCTCCACAGCTGATTATTTTTACTGTGATTTTTGCTTAATTGGAGCTACAGGAAAAAGGAAGAAAACATGAAAAGGCAGACAGTCTCCAGAGGAAAATACACTTTTGGAATTCTCAAAAGCGGTTTTTAATTTGTTGATGAGCTCTCGTGAAATCAGACGTGTGGCCCTTAAGAGACAGATGATTTTCTAGCCTGGTGTGCGTATTCTTAAGTGGGTCAACTTGGACTATAAGTCTAATACAACAAAAAGGGTCAGTAAAGTCTTGCTTGTCACTTCGACTTAGAACACAGTTTTCTGGCCCTGAAGTGTAACTGGTGCTGAAGAAAAACTACTAGCTTTTTAAAAATTCAATTTATTTTACTTTAGATTCAAGAGGTATGTGTGAAGGTCTGTTACATAGGCACAGTGCATGATGGCAAGGTTTGGGCTTCTGATATGTTGTTCTCCTGCTTTGGTGAGCATGGTACCCAATGAGTGGTTTTACAACTTTTATTCCCCCTCATTCCCCCCTACCCACTATTGGCTTTTATGTCACCCTGAACTCACAGACCCTAATTGCCTGGACCTGACTCAATGTTGAAACTAGAGAGTGTCTGCTATAGGCTGTTTCAGCCTCAACATGAGCTGTGCTGGCAGCAGACAACACTCTCACTACTGTCCTGTACAACATATCTTCCCTTTAATAAATCTACCTTTTTTAATTCATAAAAAGAAAAATGAACATGAACTGTGCTGAACCGAAAGCAGACATAGGCTCAAAAACAGCTCTTCCACTCATGGACCATTGCAGATTTAGGACACCCTTTGTAGGATAGGAAAGTGCTTATTCTCAGATGGGATAATCTGAAATTAAATGTTCATTAGTCCTATATTTTGGATGCAGAGGACTGACTGCACTCCTAACTTATGATTCCTGCCACTAGCTGCAGGTTGGGGGAGGGCACATCCATCACAAGAGGTGTGACCCCTCGGCCCCTCTGGGAATACCTCTGATGACTGATGACTTTCTGGATTACTTGCAGCTTGCAACAATGGACTGATACCCTGACTCTGCTTCTCTCTCCTTTCTCCAGGTGCACAAACTTAAGTGCAGTTTGATTGTTAAAAGTTGC